AAAAACCCGCTAGGCCCGCGAAGCCCACGAGCCCGGCCCGTTAAGCACAGGACCATGTGGGCTTAGGCCCGTCACGGGCCGGTTCCACCCATTAGGCCCACGAAGACCGGGACCGCCAGGCCCGGGACCGCCAGAGCCCGGGACCACGAAGCCCGGGACCGCGAGGCCCGGCCCGTTAGGCCCACTAAGGCCCGGGCCCGGGACAAAATACAGCCCATAAGAAGACTTAACAATATTTTATTTAAAAATACAGAAAATTAAATTTAAAAAAGAAGAGCATATAGAGAGTGATAGAAGTATTTTCCTCCAACTAATTAAACATTGCTCCTTCAAAATCTCCCCCATAAGAAGATGAAAAGTTGAAGAAACTAATTTCCTCCACATGTGCCTAACGAATCAATATTGAAAATTCCAAAAAGTAGAAGCTTGTTTTCAATATTTGAAGAAAGGAAAAAACAACTTTGAACACATATCTGCTCTTCTTTTTCTTATGTTGAATTTTTTGTATTTTTAAATACAATTATTGTTAAGTCTTCAACTTTCTGTCAGTCTAAAGGACTAAAATTACACGGTTATATTAATTAAAGATTTAATGTGCTTAGTCAAATAACACAGGGACCAAAACCAGAATATTGCAATAATTTAGGGACTAAAAATGCTATTTCCCCTTTGAATTTACTTTTACTTAAATATATCTTTAACATGTCTCTCCACATGTGGGTCTAATTCTTTTTCATTGGCTAAGCACGTGGAATTTCCTTCTTGTTTTAAGATAATGGGTGGCAGTAAGACACTAACTCACGACACCTCTAGCTGCTTTGATACCATGTTGATGTATGTGACCATCTCATCTAAATGCTTAACTTGTTAGATAGAGCATACTTTTATTTACGTAATTATGTCTTTAACAGAAAGGATCAGATAGGAGAGCCACTACTACTCTTTCATCATACACAATGGTAGGGCACCAACAGCCGGAATGACTTATAAAAGTTGCCAGCTTAGGCAATAATATAAAGAAGCTGCATCTTCCTAGCAATTCCAATAGCACAAATGCACACTAAGAGATGACACTAAACAAAGAGAACATGTGGTTATAGTAACATACACTAATAGGAGGTTGACCCTATTGAAATAGTTATCTGCATATTTGACCAACAAAATGATTGGATCGCCAGAAAGAATGAGAGATTTTCTGATAGTCCAGCAAGTCTTGCATTGAGAATGTTGTGGAAGTGACAAAGGCGTATTTAAGGACCACTTAGCAGATAATGGAGAAAAGATTGTTGACGAAAACTAACTAATGATCTTTGGGAACAAGTCAAAGCTATGAGTTAGTTCCAGTGATATAACCTGGATACTAGACTCTTCCCCAATTTTCTGAATTACCTGTACACGAGACCATTTCCCAATGGATGATTTCCATCCCACTATAGCATGCATGACAACTGCATTTTCCTGCAAGTTAAGAAAATATCCAGTTATATCTGACATTTTTGTTTCACTGCATCGCTAATTTCTTTTTACATGATACCTTGATTTCTACGTCATCTAAAATGATGCAGCTGATAAGTCTTGCACCAGCAGCTACTCGAACATTTGCTGATATTGAAACATTCGGACCAATCTGTTTGTCCAGGGACATACGAATTCAGCGAAAACAAAGAAAAACAACAAGCTTCAACAATCTCCAAACCACAACTCCTTAAGTAAACAGTCTCATTTGAGATAAACCAAGATGAAAAGAGCAAGTCAGACATGCAGTAACAACTAGCTATGTAATATTGGAGAGTTCAAACTGAAGCCACCAAAAACGTAAGCTTTTTAGAAAGTACTAGAATGATCAAGCTGATCCATTATTTGTGGTTACAACTCCAGGGATTACAAGGGTTAGTAACCTAGATACTCCATTAAACTTCCTCTACATAAAGCATACTGAATACTTAGGATTTGTTATGAGTCAGCCCAAACCCATCTCAACTAAAACCCACTCATACCAGCACATATATTGGGTAGCTCTACCTGCCAAGGCTAAGGCAGATAGAAGAATTGACCTAGTGTCGACTTTGCTTGAATTCGAATCTTGGCTTTAGGTTGTAGGCCATGCCCTTGGGGCAAAGGAATTTTAATATTTTTTGTTAAATAGTTCTTCAATATTCTCCATGGTAAAAGATTCACAAGAGCTATACATTATTCTTATCAAATAATTGTCAATCAACACATCTACTTTGTATAGATAGAAGTGCTAACTTAAATAAGGATTAAGGGGAAGATGTTGCGATGTCGCGCTTAAATTTTAACAAATTGTATCTTAGCTCCGCACATAACATCTCATATAAGTGTTAGTGAATCAGAAATTTCTGAAGTCTCTGACCCAGTACTGAACTACAAAAGTGACATTTGAACATAAGGTAGGGCAAAAATGTAGTTTGACTCTTTGACAAACTGTTTTTTGCTGAAAAGGCCCTAGTGCAAGAATGACCTTAAAACAGAAGATGGAACTACCTTTGCAGTTGAGTGTACTTTGGCTGATGGATGAATGTAAACATCCCCAACAATTGTGGCATTCTTGGTGCCATCTCTGCTAGCAAGTAGATGGGCAGTGGTATACTGGAATTGCGCGAGATACAAAGCAGAACATTTTAAAGACATCCTGAAAAGTTAAACACACACATCGTCAAGGTGTTCAACATTTCCGCACATAAGAAAAGTAACCAGTAATGATAACGACAACCATACGCTGGAGTCTTGATCTGTTCCCAGAAGTCCATGGTCTCATATGTGTACAGTTTCTTCTTTCCAGCAAGAGGTGATAAAATGTCCTGATCCAACCTAACAAAATCTGTTGGAAGGGACCTATTGAAAAGGTAAGTGGAGAACACAATTAATAGAAGTAAAATGTCTTTTAACACCACTTTGACGGCTCAATATAGAGAGAAGTCAGTGGGTGCAATCCTAACAGTTGACCAGTGTAATCAAAGGCGCGCTTAAACCCTGAAGCGAGGCGCATAACATGTTGAGCACTTCGCCTCGCTTAGCGGTCGCTTCAATGTTGTCATCAAGTCACTAAGGCATGATTTTCCTTGCTAATGAGTGTAATCCCGAGGAGGCGACACTAAACAATTGATATTTCACTTTGTTACAAATTTTGTTTTTTCAATTTCTTTGTCCATATGTTTGTTATTCATGCTTATAATTATTAGTCTTGACTACACACATATTTGTATTTTTTCTCCATTTGCCCCTTTTTTCATTAAAGTCCACGCTTTATTTGCGCTTTTTGCTTAAAGCCCCCACGAACCTTAGAGATTTCTTGCGTTTTTCGCCTTTGATAGCATTGTCGTTGAGCCAGCTATATTGCATAATCTTATGACAATAGACAACCAAATGTTAATAAATTTGTTAGAAAAAAAATCATGGTGGTTATGAAAGTGATTTGCCTGGGTGATGGATGAACTAACACTACACATCTAGGGGGAAAATGTCATGGTGCATGTTATTTGCGGACGACATAGTATTGATTGACGAGTAGCGAAGCAGAGTCAACTATAGGCTGGAGGTTTGGAGACAAACCTTGGAGTCTAAAGATTTCAGGTTAAGTAGGGCTAAGACCGAATACTTGGAGTGCAAGTTCAATGACGAGACTTATGAGACTGACGTGGAAGTGAGGCTTGTTACACAAGTCATCCTCAAGAGAGAAAATATCAAGTAACTTGGGTCGATAATTCAAGGTAATGGGAAGATCGACGAGGATGCCACACATCGTATTGGAGCGGGTGGCTAAAATGGAGGCCTGCATCCAGTATCTTGTGTGATAAGAATGTGCCACCAAGAAAAGGCAAGTTCTACAGAGTGGTTGTTAGATCGACTGTGTTGTATAGGACGGATTGATGGCTGGTCAAGAACTCTCATGCCCAGAAGATAAAAGTAGCGAAAATGGGGATGCTGAGATGGATGTGTAGGCATATTAGAAGAGATATGATTAGGAATGAAGATATACGGGATAAGGTTGGAGTGGCATCCGTGGTGGATAAGATGTGGGAGACGAGGCTGAGATGGTTCGGGCATGTGAAAAGGAGATGCACAGATACCCCAGTGAGCAGGTGTGAGAGGTTGGCGATGGTAGGTATAATGAGAGGTAGAGGTAGGCCGAAGAAGTATTGGGGAGAGGTGATTAGGAAGAACATGACACATCTTCAGCTTGTCGAGGACATCACCCGTGATAGTAGGTAGTCGAGAATTAGAGTAAAAAGCTAGTAGGTAGTCGATCATATCTTTTCCAGACCAGTAGCATTAGTATTATTATCGTATTTTCTTATTCTTAGATTTCTATTACTACTTGTTTTACTATGCATCTTTTTTCTATGGCTTCTACACTTTTGTATTTCTTTTTTTAAATGTTGTGACCATTTTTTCTATGAGCCGAGGGTATGAGCCAAGGGTCTAATCTGAAACAGTCTCTCTATCTTCATAAGATAGGGGTAAGGTCTGCGTACACAAGGATTAAACTGGGTATATTGTTGGTGGTGGTGGTGGTGGTGGTTATAAAAGTGGAGTGACTACTAATGGACTCCGCGCGACAGTAAAAAATGCGTCCTAAAGACTGATCATACCAAATGCAGACTTCGCGCCCAGTCTCAAAAAATAAGCTAAAACTCTCACTTTAAACAGTGGTGTGGCCTCTTTCTGGATATCTGTGGTGTTTCATGGGTGATGCCCAACAGTGTTAGAAGCTTATTGGAAAGTTGGAAGAGCCAAAGGATAGATGAGAGTCAGCAGCAGCTCTGGAGTAATATCCCTATGTGCATATTTTGGACCATATGGAGGGAAAGGAACAAGATTTTTGAAGGCAAAAGGAACGACACCTCTAGAATAAAAAAGCAAATGTTTGCATAAACCTGTACTTTTGGTGTAAGAGTAGTATACTGGAAAATATGGAGCAATATATGGAGATTCTGGAGTTGTTAGGACGGAACATGTAATACGCTGCTCATATGTATCTATTTGTGCCCCCAGGGCCTAGCTCAAGTGGCAAAGGGTGGTGGATTTGTGTCTTAGGTCACAGGTTCAGCCCCCACACCATGCAAAGCAAAGCCTGGTATTTAAGTGGAGAAAGGTAGAGGGGCGGGCCCATTATCCACCGAGTTTCGAAGGCTGCGGTTGGTCCAAAGGATCGGCCCCAGACGGATTTCTCGGTCATCAAAAAAAAAAAATGTATCTATTTGTTTTCATGTACTCATTTTTACCATCTTGGTACTTTTAGTTAATAAAACCTTTACCTTATCAAAAAAGTTTAAATTCTCAGTGTAATACTAGAATAGTGCAATGCCAGAACCTTAAAAGAAATATCAGGAAAAGGTACATGGGATCAAGTGGTAGCAAATTCACAAACAAAAGAACGCCTCAAGAAAGCCAATAAAATACAGGGTTATTATGACTTTGAAATGTAAAACATGGTTATGAGTTATGACTCAGGAGAGAGTAACACTATATATTCTCAAAAGAAAATAACACACTTAAATGGGTGAAAGTAGGACCTAGGTTTGATATTGAAGCTCTATTAGACCTTTTCTTATTTCATGACTAATTAGGCTACAACACAAAACCCATGCTGATATGCATGATTGAGAGGTCAGAAAGTCAAATAACACTTGAATCACCTTGTCGCAAGCTGGAGAGCTTCAAAGCTGGAAAAATGAGGCAGGGTAGCTGAAAAAAGAGAACCACCACCACAAATGAAGCAAAGGTTATATCCCAAACTCATTATACGAGGAAAAAAATTTAAGAAAAAATAATAAACTTATCCCACCTCATAACCTGAATAATACAATGAACAATTGAACATATACCGAATGGCGTGTAAATAGATAGTAATTAGAACTAGTAGCTAAGAGAACCGTCGTCAAATTGGATTTATAATGGTAAATAGATCCCTAAACAGTACCACACTATCACCCCACACTCTTTTTTGGCATGTAGTCTGGGAAGGGCTTAGGATGTATTTCATCTGTGAGGTTCTTGCACCACTGCATAAGATCTACAATTTTTCTAAGATAGCAGTAGTGAAAGATGTAAGGCACGTCAGCTATGCTAATCTATTCTCCACAGCATGGTAAGGAGCATTTATCCTATCTAAAACAATTAGCTGGTATTATGTGGTAAGGATTAGGGAAAGTGGGAGACACAGCTATCAACATTCTTTAAAATGCATGAAGAAACTATGTTGCGCAGACTCTCCAAAATAGCTGCCGCATCCGTGTCGGATCTTCCAAAAATACACTATTTTTGAAGGATCCAACACACGCCCATCGATATTTTTGGAGAGTCCGAGCAACATAGTGAAGAAACATAAATGTTAAGCATTTTGTGGTAAAACCAACTGGATAAAGGAACATTATTGGATAAATTACCTCTATCTTCTCTATTTAAGGACACGTCCTGGATGGCACTAAATATTTCTGGGGTAAAGACATAAACCCCGCAATTTATCAGATCACTTACCTGCATTTTATGAAATGTATATAAGGAAAGGCATTCAGAAATGAAGTATAAAATCTAGTTGCACCCCAGAAAGCATCAGTACTTCAACAACCTAAATAGACATTTAGTAATAACACGTACAAATGTCTCAGGTTTCTCTGTGTAATGCAACAATTCTTTAGTAACAGGATCCGCAACCAACTCTCCAAACTGGTTGGCTGATTCAGCCGAAACCTGTGTATGCACAAATATGATAAGAGGCCGATCTAAGTCAAGAAACTAAGCAGTCAGTCTTCAGCTTAGAACTTTACCTTGATAACTAGCAATGTACCCATTCCACCATATCTTCTATGGGCAACTGCATTCAGAATTGTCAAATATTTGAGCTGAAACTATAGAGAGCCTGAGAATTATTACAAATAATTTTGTGGAAAAGAAAAGAGCTTGACTGCTCTCTATCTTCAATTTAATTTTTAAGGGGGTGGTGGTACAACTGTGAAACTAGTGCATACCTACCAAGCATCTCTGGCAGTGGAAAATTGCAGCACACGTCGCAGTTTAGCAGAAAAATGTGAGACTGCCCGTTAAAGAAACAAAAAATAAAAAAGGATCACCAAGGGCCAATAGAGAATGCTAACAGAAGACAAATAACATGATAAACGTATCCATGCACCATGGGATGTTTGCACAATTTTAATGCCTTCTTTTACCAATTGTTCGTCAAAATGTACTACTCAGTCTGGTATGCAAAAAGCAACGGCACAACCATAAATAGGACATGTTCATTGAAATTCTTTCTGGCCATGTGTGGAAGAGGAGAGGGCAGATGCAGGATTGCAGATCAGCACATACAATGTGTTCCTGATCAGTTCAACGCATACAATGTCTAATTAATAAAGCTACAATAATTCTGTTGGACGTACCGGAAGTTCCTCCGTGATCAAATTTCTGAAATAATAAAGGCCACCAGCAGACCCGTGAGGTTTATCTTCCTTCAGATATCTAAAGAACCATTGACAAAGAGTCGTGTTTAAAACCAACAGGATAACCTCAGTCTAAAAGAATTCTCAACAGAATATAGAAAATTCGCTCAATCAAACAGCACACTATCAAGTGAGACCAATGCCCTAGTTCACCTGACAGGGACTTTAAGCTCTTTAGATATTGAAGAGACATATAAGGCAAATTCCCGCTCCTCGTAAAATCCAATGAGAAAAATTTGTGCCAAGTTGGGTATCTGCAATAGAGACATTCAGGTTTCTGTCATAAACCACTGTACAATAATTTTCACATCATAGCCTAGTAGGTGGACTTGAAGCAAACGCAGAAAAGTCTTTAATCTAAATTACACAGATAAATGCTAAAATTAATCAAGAATCATCTTATCAAATAAATAAAAACTAATCAAGAATCAAGGTAACACCATAAAGTGGAAAAAAGGCTTAATCTTTTTCACTTCCTTTTTTTTGTAAGTATGTTGAATTCCTGATCTTGCAGATTCCAATCCCGGATAAAACAGGGTTGTGGTAGGTTGATAGTCAACCTAAGAATATAGTCAAATTATGATACATCTTTACATCTTAAAAAAGCAGAATATTTCGCTGTGACGTATAGGTCACGGGTTCGAGCCGTGGAATCACTCATTGAAGGGTAGGTTGCCTACATAACACCCCTTGGGGCCCTTCCCCGGACCTTGCGTGAACTTGGTTTGTGCACCGGGCCGCCCTTTTATACAAATATGTTATATACAACCAAACCAAACTAGTTAGTGCTTCAGATATAGTTAATTGATTGGTACAGAATTCGAGGGATTTAGTTTAAGGTGGTCATTGAGCTTTATTCACTACAAGAGCAAAATTACAAAACTATTATTGCAGTAACAAAGTAACTGAACCTTACCCACTATACAATAAATAACGACTAAACCTACCTATCAAGGTAAATTTACTATTATAATGGGTAGAATGTTGTCATTTTACTACTCCCTCCGTTTCAATTTATGTGAACCACTAGGCACGGAGTTTAAGAAAAGAGAGAAACTTTTGAACATGTGGTCTAAAATGAGCCACATATATTTTACGTGGCTATAAATCATTGCATAAAGGTAAATTATTGCCAAATAAGTAAGTAGGTCATTCTTTTTGGCACGGACTAAAAAAAAATAGGTTCACGAGTATTAATTAACATGACAAAGTAGTTTTGTGGTTTTAGTGTTACGGTGGATACAGTTCAAGGGAGAAAACAGTAAATTAACTCACAGCACTAAGAAAAACAAAGAAGTAGAGAAACATACTTTTTTGCAAGCAGAAATCGGGTGGTTAACCATAGGCTGACCAGCTAAAGGAAATAGCGGCTTCGGTGTATTAAAAGAAAGCGGCCGAAAACGAGTACCTATAATTTTCCATTAGGATACAGATGAAGAACAAGAATCAATAATAATAATATCTAAAATAGCAAAAATAGTGAAAAGACCTTTTGTGGGCCCACCAACCATGATCACAGCTACCACCTTCTCCTCCGAAGTTGCCATTTAAAGCAATTTTTTAGTAGTTATGAACCCAAATCGTTAAAACTTAAAACCACAAAGTCTCTATTCTGTTATAGATTTTAAATGATGAGAACCAGCGGATCTTTGATATGCTGACAGTAAACACTACTCTCTGCCGAAGTAGAGACTTTTTATTAAAGACTTCGATTCTTTTCGAATGTTGAGATTTAGAATATGCAGGGAACTGAGACGTAAATACGACGCCGTTTGGTTAACAAGAGGCAGTTTTTTCTTATTTTCTTTGTTTTTCATTATTGACATTGAAGCTCTAATTAATCCTGATTTCATTAAAGGGAACTTTTTTTATTTCCACTCCTAAGACCTCTAGTTTATAATACATAAATACTATCTATTCCACCGTAATCCTTAGAGCTTTTAAGCTGGTCAAATCAGCTTTTAAACTCTTTTTAACTTTTTTTAGTGTTTGACAAAGTCAAAAGTGCTTAAAATAAGTTTAAAACTGCTTAAAAGAAACCAAAAGCAATAAGTTGGGCATCCCCAACTTATTGTTTGTTGACTTAAAAATTATTTTTGATGAAAAACTACTTTTTTTAAAGCCAGTCCAAACAGACTCTTAGTAGTTTTTGTAATTAATAATTTATTGTTGAATAATTTATTTTTTTGCATTTACATATGTTTTTCGGACGCAAATTATATACACAAATAATATAAATAATTATTATTGTAAACATTTAAATTTTATTAGATTTAAATCCATAAAATAATTTGGACCATATTAAATTCAAGACCTTAGTCCAAACAAATATTGTGGATAGTAAATTGGGCTAATTATTTAAATCCAATATATGTGTTGGGCTAGTCCATTTGATTGGACTATAAATTAAATGATAAGCCCACTTCAGTAGCCCAAGGTCCAAATGGCTATTAGCCCATCTTAAAGCCCAAGCTCATGCCACGTGTTAAGTGATGTGGCAATCCAAGTCAAAAGAACAGGCCAATAAAATCATTCGACGTGTCAAGTGACGTGGCAATCCAAGCCAAATAAATGAGTCAATTAAATCATGCCAAGTGTCTAGATGATATTGATCAATTCAAATTGACCAATCAAATCGTAGAGCCACACAACTCCCTACAACTATAAATAGAGGTCTTCATAAAGCTAGAAGACATCAGAAGTGATAACAAAAAGCAAGCAGAGAGCTCGTGGATCAAACACCGCAGATTACTCTACAAGCTACAAGTTCAAGCACTCAAGCTACAAGTTCAAGTTCAAGATCAAGAACGAAGCCAAATCAAATACCAATGCGTTCAAGATCAAATTACTTTTTCGTGATCAAATCCAAATTCAAGCTCAAGAAAGAGATTCAAGACCAAGCTTTACAAGCCCTTGAATCAAAATTAAAATCAAGCTTATCAAGATAGTTTACATTCTTGAAGAATCAGAGGAATACCATAGAGATTGTAACACTCATCATTTACTGAAATCAAATACTACATTTGTTGCGCAATTTTTCAGTCTTAATTATTTATTTTTCTCGACGCGAAAATTTGTTGTTACAAATTTCTGGCACGTCCAGTGAGACAATCTCTATCTCTCATCTTTTCAATTATCAAATTTCAAGAACACAGAAATGGCTCCTAAGAAGATCAACTTCAAACTCACTACTGCTAAGACTACGGATTCCAAGTTTTCATCTGATGTGGAAAACTTGCTGGATGCTACTATGGAAAACGTAGGACCTATCACTAGGAACAAGGCAAACTTGCTGGGACAACAAGCATTTCAAATATCGTCTGCATCAATTCCTATCTTTGATTTTCGATCCTCAAAGGGGGCAAGATCATTTCCATCTGAATTGGAAGAAGGAGCGAACATTGCTGAAATCGTTGAGAAGACATTGGCTCTACTTCGCCCATCTAGATCTAAGAATCTCATCACACAGGATGATGATGATGTCTTGATCACTGGATCTGATCTAAGCACTCCACATGAGTTGTTCCACTCAAAGTATGGTGTAAGAGAAAATCCATGATTTGTTCCACCATCCACGACAGTTATCCAAGCAATGGTGACTAACACTTCAACTGTTGAAGAACAACTCACAAATTTAACAAAGGCAATTGAGGGGTTGACGAAGCATATGCAAGATCAAGATAATCAAATTGCCAAGCTGACAAATAGAGTTGAAAGCATGACGGAGGGAGATTCAAGTCATGCACCTAGAAAGTTCCCTATGATGCAAGATAAAGGAGGCTCATCTGCAAGGCATACAATGACTCCTAAAGAATTTTAGATTTCATTTGATGGGGTTATTCCCATTGACCAATTGAAAGACTTCATCATAGGAACCATCAAAAATAAGTATGATGTCGCTGCCAAGTCTTCTTTTGCATATGCGAAGCCATGCACTGCGAGAATTGATAGTTTGAAGATGCATGCAGGTTATCAACCCCCAAAAGTTTAACAATTTGATGGAAAAGGAAATCCAAAGCAACACATTGCATACTTTGTCGAAACTTGTAATAATGCTGGAACCTATGGAGATTATCTTGTCAAGCAATTTATCCGTTCCTTAAAAGGAAATGCTTTTGATTGATACATTGATCTCGAGGTTGGTTTCATCGATAGCTGGGAGCAACTTGAACATGAATTTCTCAATCGCTTCTATAGTACAAGGCGCACTGTAAGTATGGTTGAAATCAAAAACACGCGTCAATGGAAGGATGAACCAGTCGTTGATTTCATCAATCGATGGAGGAATGTAAGCTCAACTGCAAAGACAGACTTAGTGAAGCTTCTGGAATAGAAATGTGTATCCAAAGAATGCATTGGGGACTCCGTTACATCCTACAGGGTATCAAGCCTAAGTCTTTTAAAGAATTGGCTACACGTGCTCATGATATGGAGTTAAGCATGTCTTCAAGTGGAAATCAAGGGCCACCTGTTTATGAACATCGTAAAGTGAAGGATAAACAAGAAATAAAGAAAGGAGGCAAGTTCGTGCCGAAGTTTGAGAGCAAGGAATCAATGAATGTTAACGCCTCGCCATTAAAGGTCACTACAAAAGTGAGTAAGAAGCAAAGTGTGAAGACAATATCCTTACAAGATGGAGTTAGCCAAAAATTAACTCTGAAGGAAATGCAAGCGAAAGAATATCCATTCTTGGACTCTGATGTTCCAGCAATTTTTGAAGAACTCCTTGAGTTACCTGAAATGAAGCGGCCAGACGAAGCTGGAAGGACTAATGATCCGAATTATTGCAAGTATCATCGGTTGATTGGCCACCCTATTGAAAAGTGCTTTGTCTTCAAGGAGAAAGTCGTGGACTTGGCCGTTGAAGGAAAAATCTTGCTTGAGGATGAGAAAGACAGTTCGAATCAAGTCTCTTTCATTTTTGGTTCACTTGATCCCATTTTTCTTTGCAATTTTGTCGAAGTACATAAATGTGATGGCATCCAAACTGCATCATCACCAAATATGATTAAATTTGGTAACTTTGAACCTATCGATGTGAGCAAACCATTGCTTCTCCCTATAGTGTATAAACTAATAGTAGAGGAAAGATCTCAAGAGGAAGGTGAATCACGTGATGATCAAACTGATGATGAAGGTTGGATTATTGTGACTCGGCGGAGACGCTGCAAGACAAATTCACAAAGGGAATCAAATAAGCAGTTAACTAGGGGGAAAATGGTGAAAAGACCCAAGAAGAAAATGATAAAGAAGAATTGGAAGAAAGCAAAAATGGCGGAGAATCACTATCAAAGGCTACGTTATCCAGTGACATTGAATGAATTCCTGCCAAGCTGGTTACACCCGCAAGCTTCATGTGAATATATCAAGGCCTCATATTGTAATATAGATGAAGAAGAGACAAAGAAGGAGGATCCATCATTGTTGTCACCTCCTTTGCTTGAAAAACTCACTGACAATTCTGAAAAAGCGGACATTTGTGATGCAAAAAATGACATTTACTAATTATGATCTTTTGCTTGGTGAAACACACCATAATCGTCCCCTATTCATGGTTGGCTTTGTGCGAGAACAGAGAATAAATAAAATCTTGATCGATGATGGATCTGGTATCAATATTCTCCCAATTCGTACTGTCAAAGAGCTTGGCATACCGATGGATGAACTATGTGAAAGTCGTTTGATGATTCAAGGGTCCAATCAAAGGGGCAAAGAGCTATAGGGGCTTTCAAATTAGAAATAAATATGGGAGATTTGCATTCGAGTGCATGGATGCGCGTGATAGATGCAAAGACCTCA